TACACACACACACACACACACACACACACACACACATACATACTAGAAACCAGAAGACCGAATACTTTGGCTGACTTCTATTCTTTCCAGAAGCACAAGTAAGAATTAATTAAGAAATCAGGAAATCTTTTCTTTCAAAAAACCACTTCAGTGACGTTTGGTCATGTCTATGGTTATTACAAGGCTGTTCTTCGTGTTTCTTGCTTTTGTAAGTCAATTTACTGTTTTCTTTTTCTTGTAACGAATTTTTTTACGGATCGCGCACAGGTCTCCTTGACTAGAGATGGTTTGAATAAGAATGCTGTGAACTAACCTCGAGCTGTAGTATGAAGTTATCGTGTGGATTTTACGGTCGACAAAATGTCTTAAAACGTCCTCCCAAAAACCCATGTTCAAGGCGGTCTACTATGGATTCGAACCAGAAGCATTCCCACGATATTCTTGAATGATACCGACTGAGCAATCGTCGTGCCTCTTGCATAGAGAGTTATTTCCCAAGTTATTTATATCGCTGAAGCGAGAAGATCGAACTTCAGATGTAAGTTTCCAATGTATGGTATACTGATTATTCATCCATGTCTCCAGATTAAGGCATTATTTAAGTTAATACAATGTTATGTAAGAGCTGGATGGGATCTGTTTATTTTAAACCCTCTACGTTAAAAAAACAAAAATTAAAAATAACAGCCAGATCTATCAGAGCGGGAGGATCTTCGTATCGAGTGAAGCTCAAGCTCTAGAATCTGTCCCGTTGAGATTTGTATTATTTCGTTCACTTAAGTCTAAAATAAGATAGTTGTTTTTTTTTATAAGTGTGGGATAGGAGCTGAAACCAGGTAAATAGTCAAAAGTAGGTCGGCACATACATTATTTTTATCAGCTCATACTGGTAGTAGAGAAAACAGGGAACTTATTATTATTGAATTTTCCTGAACTAGAGATGCAATTATCTTGGCACTCTTTGGTAAATCAATTCTAATAACTCATTCTCACACACCTCCCGTATCTTTCAATCGATCTGTTTATCTCTCTCTGTCTCTCTCTCTCTTTCTCTCTCTCTCTCTCTCTCTCTCTCT